CTCTCCCCCTCCCCCTCCCTCATCGTGCGTGCACTCTATCTCCCTCCCCCTCCTTCATCATGCGTGCACTCCATCTCTCTCTCCCCCTCCCTCATCATGTGTGCACTCTATCTCGCTCTCTTGCCCTCCCTCATCATGCGTGCACTCCATCTCCCTCTCCCTCCTTCATCATGTGTGCACTCCATCTCGCTCTCTCCCCCTCCCTCATCATGCGTGCACTCTATCTCGCTCTCTCCCCCTCCTTCATCGTGCATGCACTCTATCTCCCTCTCCCTCCTTTATCATGCGTGCACTCCATCTCTCTCTCTCCCCCTCCCTCATCATGCATGCACTCCATCTCTCTCTCCCCTCCCTCATCATGCGTGCACTCCATCTCGCTCTCTCCCCCTCCCTCATCATCAGCGCTCTACTCCATCTCTCTCTCCCCTCCCTCATCATGCGTGCACTCCATCTCGCTCTCTCCCCCTCCCTCATCATGTGTGCACTCTATCTCGCTCTCTCCCCCTCCCTCATCATGCGTGTACTCCATCTCTCTCCCCCTCCCTCATCATGCATGCACTCTATCTCACTCTCGCCCCCTCCCTCATCATGTGTGTACTCCATCTCTCTCCCCCTCCCTCATCATGCATGCACTCTATCTCTCTCTCCCCCTCCCTCATCATGCATGCACTCACTCTCTCTCTGGCTCATTCCCCCCCGCCCCCCGCTTCTTGCATGCTCTGTCATTATGAAAAGCACAAAAAAAACACCGGTCCAACAGTTTGGTGGTCTACTGCTGTGCAGAGAGCCGAATCCCACATGGCCTACTGTGGTTCAAATCCCGGTCCTGGTGGCAACACACTGGGTTTGCATGTCACATGCCCAGGTTCTGACAAGATAGAGAAACAAAGAAAACGGACTGCTGTGTGCCCAGGCCTCACTGTGGGGTGCTCTCTCTTTCTCATTCTGGTACACGCTGTCTGGCATTAAAAAAGAAACACGCATAACAAAAGCCAAGCCAAGCCAACAGCCAGCCCCTCCACAGAGGTGAAAACAAGAAGCCCTAAAAGGCTCTCCAGGGAGAGAGGAGCCTTGCTGACCTCTGGGTGATGGGATTGCAGGTGTCTTATTTCCCCCTTTGCTTGTTTCTATTTTCTAATGTTTCAAACAATGAACATGTAATTGTGCGCTCACCGGAGAGACTGAGAGACAGAACGTGAGAAATGACCCCTCCGGGGACAGCCATGCCACAATCCCTTCTCCAGTCTCGTCTCAGCAATTTGGCCATGCATACACATCGCATGAATTTCCAGCTCCCGGGACCAGGACTCAAACCACAGTCTACCATGTGGGAGTCCAGCCCCTTAACCACTGTCATTACTTTACAGCAAGAATAAAAAATAACAAAAACATAAAAGAAGAAACTCAAGGAATGAGCACTTACATGTGTTCTAGGATGATTTTTGTCAGCAGGTTCTTGAGGTTTTGGTGGAAATTTTCCGGAAAGAGAGCCAGAACCGCCTCGGCAGAGGACAGACCCCGGAACACCACCAGTCTGGTGAGGTGGTGCAGCGCCTGGAGCACCTGAGGAGGCAGGAGCCCGGCTTCAGGGGCGTGGCAGGGCGGGCAGCTCCTGAACTCACCGAGCACCACGCACTCCGTCCTGCTGGGCCGTGGGTCCTCCACAGCACAGGCCGATGCCCACGAGCCTGGCTGGCCGAACCACCTTAGAAGCAGGTGAGCTGCCCACCTTGCTGGCTGGCTGCCAGAATCTCTCCTGGTGGGCAAAAGGTTAACACATCCTTTTCTTTCCTGCAGAATCTGACCTTCAGTTACCTTTCCAGGCTGTTTCCAGAGAAACCTGAGCAGCGGGAAGTCAGCTGTGTTGCCAGGCAACACTGAGTGGGTCCACTGCCTCTGGGGGAGAGCCCTGAGGCTGTGCTGGTGCTGAGCTGTGCCAAGGACACTGGCTCTCAGAGTGTGAGCGCGATCGCAGGTCCTCACTCCTGAGCCGTCATCCCAAGGGCAGAGGGGGGCTGTGGAAGAGGAGCCTGACCCCGCCAGCCTCTAAGCACACCTGCAGCCCCATGTGGCCCACACTACCCTTGTGATGTGAGAGAACTCTCTGGAGGGCACTTCCTCTGCTTCTGGGCTTTCCCTAACCTCACTGTGTCAGACGCAACCCTTTCCCACCAGTGGGGCTGGGTCGGGCAGATGCCCAGCCACCGTGCCCTCGGGAGGCCCGTCCTGACCTGAGCTCTGCTCGTTATCTCCCAGAATCCCCAGAACGTCCTCGGCTCCTGGCTGCACCCTCTCAGGAATGCGATCTCGCGCTGGCCCATCTCCCTTCTGTGACCCCCCACCCCCGAGATCATGGCAGGCACCCACGCCCTCCCTCAGGCCCTTCCATAGCCACGCTGACTTCAGGGGACAAGGAGCGCCTGCTGCACGTGGATGAGCACGCTCGCTTCCTGAACCCCTGCCTTGGGAAGCGGCTGTCCTCCACATAAGCTAGCGTGAGTAACCTGACTCGTCCTCGGCCACCTGCTATGGCCAGGCGAGCAGAGAAGGGACTCGACTGGGGCAGAGTGATGGCAGGGCCTGGAGCACCCAGAGAGCCCTACGGAGCTCAGTATCTGGCCTTCCCAGGACCCAGGCTGGAGTCCTACCCCGACTGGAAAACCCCCTCCACGTCTAGCTCCGTAAGTTAGAGGAAGGGCCCCAGACAATAGCTTTGTTCGCTGACGTCAGAAATCCACGCTGTTTGCTATCGTGCTACGGGGCTCGGAGAAGTGTCCTCAAGGGGAATTCGGGAGAGAGTAAGGTGTCCCGAGAACCAGAAGCCAAGGCCACGCCGACCCCGTACCTGCGCGGCCTCCTCCCGGGTCACTGACAGGCCGGAGCACGTAACCGCCAGGAGTCTTTCTGAGCTGGGGGCCATGCTGCAGAAGCTCTCCTGGCACAGCTGTCTGACGACGTCTTTCGAGGAGGCCTACGAGTTAATCCACAGATGGGAGGAACGAACTTGGACTCTGGAAACGCATGCTTTGAGAACAGTGTCTTGGCCGTGGTGCGACACCATTAGACGGCTCCCCAGACCGTGTGCTGAAGGAGCCTGCACCATAGGGCCCGGTTCCACCCAGGAAGTACACTCTGTTCCAGACTGGCACACCCAAGCCCGGGAACCAGGAGGAGCTCTGCTCAGGACAGACCCAGCGGCGGCCGAGCAGTGGCGGGGCGTGCCAGCCCGGAGCTTCCCCGACTTGGTGCACAGAGGAGCCCGAAGCACTCCTGTCCTTCCTATCCTGCCAGCGGCCCTGGAAAGGGCGCCAGCAACAGGAGGCCCTGACAGCACTGCTCCTGTGGCCAGCCTGCAGGGGGCCAGCAAAGGCTGAGGGGCTGGACGAGGCCCACCCTCTCCTCGGCAGTGTCCAGTGTCTGGAAGGCTGGGCCTCACCCCCGGTATAAGCTGGGACTGCGGAGACAAGCTGCCCTCCCCACCGCCTCCAGCTGTGACAAGTCCCCCTAGGCCCCACAGCAACAGGAGTGGGAACCTGGACTTCAGCCTCCAACTGGGGGGTAGAGGTGGTGCCCTCCCTGCCTCAGCAGGGTCAGGGAGGGCAGCTGGAGCAGATACAATGTCCGAATACCTCAGGTTTCCAAAGGCCACACAAGCGTCCAGGTGTCACTAAAAAGTGCATCATCGGACTTCAAAGGAAAAGTCTCAGCAAAGAAATCGAAGACATAAAAAAGAACCAATCGGAAATGTTAGACCTGGAAATATAACCACGAAACAGAGAGCTGAGCAGATGGGCTCAGCACAGAAATGGGAGCAAAGGTGGTCGCAGCAGCCAGGCAGCCCTGGAGTGGAGTCCCTTGGGGCCTATAGGGCTCCACACGGTCTGAGTGAGTCCCAGACCCAGCAGCTCGAAAAACACTCCAGCTGTGTTTGCATGCTCAAAACCCAGACAAGATGGAGGGTGAGGAGGGACTGTAGCACAGTCATAACCGCCTACCGAGAGCCCGCGGGGGCCCGAGATGGGGTAACTGCAAACAGCTAGACTGAGACCTCACAATTAAACTTCTGAAAATAAAAGGCAAACACAACCCTGAGAGCAACTGCAGGGAAAACACTCCACCCATAGGGGACAGGTACCGGGTCAGCAGCCTCGTCCTGGGAACCCAGGAGCAAGAAGGAGGCAGCACATTTTCCGGGTGCTGAAAGACTAGAGCTGTCAATTAGAAACCCCAACCACAAAACACCCTTTGGGAATAAAGCAGCAATCAGGACATTCCCAGACGAAGAAAAGCAAGAAAAGCTGTCACGGAAGTGCCACTGGGGAAAGGCTGCAGCACGCAGCAACGGACGAGGAGCACTGGAGGGGGGACGGCGCAGAAGATGGAGACGGCAGCTCCCCTCCCGTTCCCTAAATCACGTCCGAGGCAGAGCCGAAGTCATGACACTGTCGATGTGGCTCTACCTGAAAAATGGCTAAGGAGCAGCAGGAAAGCTGAAGGGGTGCAGAGCGAAGTGAAGCTTCTGCTTCGCCCCAAATGGTAAAGCGGCGAGGCCAGCCATAGGCGGCGGTACACTCTGTGTGTATGCTTCAATAAGCAGAGCAACCACTAAGAAGGTCACAAAACACACGCATGTTAAGGGTACAGGTGAATCAAAATGGGATTCTAAAAACTGTTCAAATAACTCACAGGAAGACAAGAGAAAGTAAAAATAAAATTAAGACTAGACAGAAAAAATAAAATGGCAGCCATAAACCAGCACTGATAATTATACTCACTGTGAACAGTCCGAGTATTTTAAATGACAGAAACTGGCAGAAGGGACTAAAACAGGCGCCAGCTCAGTGCTGCCCCCCAGAAGCCCCTCAGGTGTGGTGCTATCGGGGCCAGAGTGGCAGAGCTGACACCCTCACGTGTGAGCACCCAGCAGCAAGAGATGTGAGCTATGGGAGCAACGGCCGGCAGCTGTGCGGGGGAGGGCAGGCCCACAGCGGAGCGGGAGGCGTCGAAACCAATCTTTCCACAGATTTTACTGGAGGACGGCTGGACAGACGTCTGCAAGGGCGTGCGGGAATAGCTGGCTGTCGCCGTGCCCCGCCCCACCACAGGACTGAGTGCGCACCTGCTGCCAGGCCTGCTGAAAACAAGCTTGGGGGTCATATTCTGAGTCATGAGACTAATTTCCATACATTAAAAAGAAGTGGAAACCTGAGTGTGTTCTCTGTAGCTTCAACGGAATAAAATCAGAGATCAATAGCAGAAGGGTAACAAAATAAAAATGGTATGGCGTAATAACTGCATCGCTGGACTCCCACATAGTCAACCACGGTTCAAGTCCTGGACCCAGCTTAAAACTTGCACCAGGCATGTATGCATACATGCCCAAAATCCTGAGAGGAGAATGGAGAAGGGATTGTGGCATGGTCATCCACTCTGGGGAGTGGCTTCTCACTTTCTGTCTCTCTGGCAAGCGCACACGCCCTATAGCAAATATCTCTTCAAAAAAAAGAAAAGAGAAGAAAAAAAGAAACTTAACACACTTCTAAAAAAATCTATAAGACAAAGAGGAAGTCTCAAGAAAAATTTCTAAAAACTATGCAAAAATGAGAAAACAACATAAGGGCATTTGTGGGACCAAGGAAGTGTTGAGAGAGAAATTTACAGCATTTCTTTATTAGAAAAGGAAAAAAGTCTCCAGTCAGTAATCAAAGTTCCCACCTCAAGAACCTGGGGTGGCGGGGGCGGGGGGCAGCAATTAGCGTAATGGCTATGTCGCTGGACTCACACATAGTCGACTGTGGTTCATGTCCCAGACCCGGTGGCTTAAAACTCACACCGGGCGCGTGTGCGTGCGTGCCCAAGATCCCGAGAGGAGAACGGAGGAGAAGGGATTGCAGCATGACCATCCCCCCTGGGGGTGATTTCTCGCTTTCTGTCTCTGTCTGGTGAGCGCACGCGACCTATAGCGAAAACCTCTCAAAAAAAAAAAAAAAAAAAAAAAACCGCAATGGAAATGTAAGTAAAACTTCATTTCTAAAAAAGAACCTAGGGGGAAAAAGAGCGTTAAAAAACCCAAAGGGGGAACCAGCAGTTAGCGTAATGGCTATGTCGCTGGACTCCCACGTAGGCGACCGTGGTT